AACAAAAAGACAACCTACTGAATGGGAGAATATATTTGCAGATGATATATTCGATATGGAGTTAATATCAAAAATGCAGAAGAAACTCATACTACTCGATAATAAAAAATTAAAATCCATTCAAAAAATGGGCAGAAAATATAAATAAAGATTTATTCAAAGACATACAGACAGCTAACAGACATATGAAAAGATGCTCAACATCACTAATCATCATGGAATGCAAATCAAAACTACAATTAAATACAACCTCACTCACACCTATTAGAATAACTATTATCAAAAAGTCAACAAACAACAAGTGTTGGCGAGGATGTGGACAAAAGGGGACCCTCCTTGCACTGTTGGTGGGCATGTAGATTGGTGCAGCCACTGTGGAAAACACTACAGAGATTCCTCAAAAAATTAAAAATAGAACTACCATACAACCCAGCAATTTCACTTCTCAGTATTTATCCAAAGAAAACAAAAACTCTAATTCAAAAAGATTTATGCCTGGATGGTGAACACACAATGTGATATATAGATGATGCATTCCAGAATTGTACACATGAAACCTATGTAACTTTACTAACGATTGTCACTCCAATAAACTTTAATTTAAAAAAACAAAAACAAAAACAATATATGCACCCGTATGTTCACTGCAGCATTATTTACAATACCCAAGATACGGAAGCACCTGGGTGTCCATCGATAGATGAATGAATAAAGAAGATGTGGTAGATAATGTATACAGAGGGTGCCAAAAAAATGTATACATATTTTAAGAAAGGAAAACTGTATTAAAATTGTAATACTCAATATATACTGATAACAAAAAATAAATACAAGTCACATTTGACTTCTGCAATGACAAGAGGTGCTCAAAGTGGTTACCATCAGTGTTCAGACACTTCTGATGACAGCAAACTACTGCTTGAGCAACGCTGACCAAGTGTCCACTTGTATACTTTTTTTTGGCACTCCCGTTATAATGGAATATTATTGATCAATAAAGTGAAATCTTGCCATGGACTTAGACGATATTACACTAAGTGAAATAAGTCAGACAGAGAAAGAAAAATACCACATGATTTCACTTATATGTGGAATCTAAAGAACAGAATAAATGAACAAAAAGTAAACAGATGCATAGAAACAGAGATCAAACTGATGGTCTCAGAGGGGAGAGACTTGAGGGGTGCCTAAAAATGGTGAAGGAGTATATAGACAATAATCAGGTGATAGCTTTGGATGGTGACCGACGAGTACTAGACTTCATGTGGTGATCACATCATAAGGTCTATAAATGTCAAATCACAGTACAGTACATCTGAAAATACTATAAATTTTATGCCAACTATACTTAAAAACTAACAAAATAAAATACATTTTAAAAATTAAAAAACTATAATAAAGTGTCTATTCTAGTCCCCATATAAATAAAATACTAGACTTACACCCGTATAAAATATTTCACATCCATACCTATGACTTAATCATTAAAAGCACAGACTCTAGAGCCAGATGGCTGCAGTTTCAACCCCAGCTCTGCTCCTTACTGGTCTGTGATCATTATTGAATCCCTCTACACCTCAGTTTTCTGTACCATACATTGGGGATCATGGTGTGTTCCTCAGAGGATTATGAGATTAAATCAGTTCACATAAGTAGAGTGCTAAAAAAGAATGAGTGGCTCGTGATAAATAAAGCAATACATGTCATGTGGTTTCCATAGTTGTTATTATTGTTGTCGCCATAATTACCACTATTATTACCAGTATTGCTGCTGCCGCTGCTGCTGCTGCTACTGGGGTTAACCTCCATCTTATTTGAATACAAGAGATCCTGAGTGACAGGATCATAATCAACATTAATAATTGCTGAATTACCCTGGCAATACAGAGGCGATTGGACTAAATGCTTACTATCTCTAGAGTATGCCTGAAAAATGGGCAAGTTCGTATGTGTGTCGTTGTTTAAACGTGGGCCTCACAGGAGATGCGGTTTTTCTCTTTTCCTCTTGATTCTTTAAGAGATGGCATTGTTCTTGCTGTGTTAAGTTGGTGGGTTAACATTTAATTCTGGTATATGTGTCACACTCTTTTGGTTAAGGAGAACTATGTCAAATTATACTCTGATAAACTCCCATATACTTTCTCAGCTAATTGTAACTCAAAATAAAAAAGGGTAAACTAAGGAGTTATCACTGAACACACACACACATATATATATATATATATATATATATATATATATATATATATATATACTATAGAAAAATATATACATGCTTTGCAATAGGCTCCTTGGAGGAAAAAAGATTTAGAAATAATACAAGGTATTTTTCAACAGCACCAGCCTAGGTGTCCACAGAATATCCCTCTTTCTCTTTATGCCAAACAGCAATGTGCGCAGCTAGGAATCTTCTATTACCACACTGAAAATGTCTTTTCCGAAAGAGTAAGAACAGCACAGGCACCTCATTAAATACCAGTGCATTTGACCACAGTATTACTTTCAAGAAGAAGACAGATCACAGAAAAATTATTTGGCTATTTTTAGATATTTAAAGAAAAACAGAACTTCTAGCTTCCATTGTATATAAGAATTGCTTAAAATACCTCCATAAACATATGCCACGGCATTGAAGGCTATTAATTTCACTGGAAATGAATCATGAGGTACCAAAATGTCTGCACATACAATCAGTATGCATTTCCCATAAAAAGGGGAATGATTTGCATGTGTCCTGAAAATATATTTTCCTTAAACAAAATTTTAAATGTCTCAAAGTAGATGGAATAGATTTTTCTTCCAAATGCAACGAAGTTAACTAAAACTAGGTTTCTTCAGCCATCTATCACTTTGCAGCAGATTTTTCTCTTTTCAACATACAGGAAAAAATAGCCCTCCAAAAACAGACCTGAACTGCAGAGCTCAGTAGCAAGACCCAAGCCAAGGAGATGCTGAACAAGCTTTTATCAGGAGTCATGGTGGAGACTGTTCCATAAACCCTGTTTGAAGCTAAAGGTAAACTGTAGCATCGATATCAATAAGTGCAAATCACGACATTGGCAAAGTCTTTTATCCACAGTTTATGAAATGTCTTAATGACAGAGTGAGGTGATTGTAGTTTAGGTGATGTTTAATACTGAGGCACTGTTCACGTGCAAAGAGGCCATCTCATGTCCACTAATTGAATTGGGAATTTTGATGAGTTTGACGTAAATCTTATTTCAGTAAGCTAAAAACTGAATACTATGTCAAATAAATCATGAAATCCTAGAGTCTCAAGCAACATAGGAGGCATCTTTGTTATGTATGTTCACTTCACAGAAGAAAGTGGTGATGGGAGGTGGGCATGGTTTGCTTTTCTGAATATTTAGACCCTGGACAAGAGACATCCGTGTCACATCTGCCCATGCATCACGTGACAATCCTGGCTGCCTCACTCTCATGTCTGTACTTCTCCACCCAATATTCTTTCCCTAGACAATCTGATACAATCCATGAGAAAAGGTATAATGAGTCAGCCTCAGGGTGCTATATGCAAATATATCACGGAAAAGAGTTTTTAAATATTTATCTCTGCAAGAAAAAATGTGTTTTTTCATTTTTCTTCATTCCCATTAACACTGCCACCTTGGCCGTACTGATTATTATGAGATGAATGATTTTCTGGTTTTTAATTATTACTGGGCATCATCACTGATATTTATAAAGTCCTCCATCCTCAGCCAGCTGGTTGATTTGTTCAAGAAATATTTATTGAGTGCCTACAATGTGCCAGGTGCTGTCTAACTATCATAGTCTCTGACCTAGAGTCACCAACAACTAGCTGTAATGAAATAAATGGCTCTGAAGAAGTCAACTGTACCATGTTTGGGTTTGCAACGCTATCAGCTTAATAGAAATGCCTTGGGTGAGCCTGTCTGCCCCCTCAGCTAGAGGGTCCTGGGATCTAGCTGTCCCATTCAGATCCACCCCTTCCTGGCTGGATTTGACAGTGACCATCTGGTGTAAATTGTCTGCTCTGAAATAAACATAAATGGGAACAACTCTGGGTCGTACAATTCTAGCTACAACTTCTAAGTCAGAGGCAGAAATTGAATGAATCACCCTCTTAGGTAGCACTCCTCTGGGGAGACTGGGCCAGAAAAAGCTGGGGACCCAGGGTCTCATGACTTTCTCTTTCCCTGACCCAAAAAGACTGAGCTGCTTGCCATTCTCTTGTTCCATGCACGTTTCCCCTGACCCTGCAGAAGTTAAGAAATGTAGCCACTCGCTACTTCAGGGAAAAGGGTGGGCGCCAAGAGTAATACCTTCTCTCTTTGGCTCATTATTGTAGGGTTTTGCTGGACTTTCCTGAATGACAACCTTGAGAAATTGACAACATCATTTCATGATCAAGTGGATCAGCTGAAAAATGTTGTTTGGGAATATTTTTCGCCAAATGCACTGTTCTTTGTTTTTACGACTCAGGTATCACAGGGTCAAAGATCTAACACAATGGAGTGGCTGGAACTAGACCCAGGATTTTCCATATGTCAAGTACATTGTGATTGTTTTGCAGGGTTCTACAGAGCATCTGCTTCGGTTATAATGCAATGGGATAGCAAGCACATTATCAGTTACTAAGAACTGGACTTCCTGGTTTTCTCTGCCAATTCTTACCTTTCTTCCCATCCATAATAGTGCTTCTTAGATGGATTTTTATCAAGTGACAATGGATTTCTAGACAACTAATTCTGGAAAAAAACAATTGCTGAAATTTTGGAAATACGTATCATAGGCTACAAATAAAATAGTCAGGACATTATCACTTGGTGATAATTATTTGTTGTTCTATTTGGGATAGTCTCACGTAACCACAAGTTCCCAATTGTGGCCTCCAATACTGCTTAATGATGGTGGAGATTACACAGCCCAGAAAATGATTTCAAAGTTTTTCCTAATGAAAGTTCACACTTATGCCATAAACACTGTCCAATTGCAGAAAACACCGAAGTACTCACTTGTTTAGCCTTGGTCTTTGTGATGGTGTCAGAAATAGGTTTCTTCCTCTCCTTCACAGCAGTTTTAGAAAATAGTTCCTCAAATTCATGACAATCTATGGATGGCTCTTCAATTTTTTCCCAAATAAGTGAAGCACTGGAGTCTCTAAAGTTAAGCGAAACACCAATTGAAAGAGCCATAAAGCCAAACTACAAGCTATCATGGTTAGCAAAAACATAAAGGAAGAAAGAAAAAAAAAAAAAGACAAGCAGAAGAGAAAACAAGGGTGAGAAGTCAGGAAGGAAGGAAGTATTGCCGGAAGGAATGCAAGAGGCAAACAGGAGAAAGGCAGGGAAAAGGGGAAAGAATACTTTTACATTAAGACCACCATTTGTTATTATCAACTTGATGAGAAAGTTAAAATGCCATCAATATACAATGAAACCTTTGCCTAACAATAGTAATCTCCAGGAATTCCCAGTTATCAAGTCAGTGTATAAAAACCCCTCTCAGTATGGGCAGTGAAGGCAGGAAATACCGCATTTGATATCTCACAATCTCAACTTGACTCATCAGCTTTGTAGATTATTCATGGATTAAAAAAGAAATAATTTTGGGCAGAATGAAAATAAAGCTGTATGTAAATGTTGAAAAAAAAAAAAGAAAAAGAAAAAGAAAGAATTTTATGATCCAAGGCAGCATTCTTCATCTTCCTACCACTTTTCATCACCCCCTATTGTTATCTGAGTTCTCAATAACTGCAGTAATTATGTAGTACCACCTAAAACAGGTAGATCCATTTGAAAAAGGAAAAGCAACAATGAAACAAACAAAAAAAAAACCATATAATATATCTAGTTTAAATGAGTTTGGGGTATGGTTTAAAATGATGCATTAACATATATAAGTGACATAGCAACTATAGGGAGAATGAGCTACAAAGCTAAAAATAGTAAAAATATATAGATTATTTCCCCCAATATGATTCAGTGAAGAGAAAAAATATATATATATATAAGAAATAAGAATGGGCCTGGTAAATATACGATTTCTAAATGCATGCCACATCACACAAACGAAATTCGAGGCATCATGAGAAGTTAGAACAGGGAAGGCCAGTAAAGTTTAAAGTGCATGGTATTTCTCCCACTGGCATGTGGGAGCCAGTTCCACAGCCAAGTACCCCAGTACTGTCCCAGAAATCAGGGAACACAGGCTATACAATATTCATGGATAAGTAATATGCCAGCAGTGTACATGGCGGGAAGTATTCTTTTATAAATATCATTCCCAACTATGATTTTATGACTTCACACCGTGTCGCCAATCTTTTCCAAAAGTGCCATGAAATTCTCAAAAGCTAAATTATCTCCCAAAGAGGGTATGTGTATGTGTATTTTTGCATAGCTCATTTCTGATGAGAAAGACTACTGTACACAAAATGGAACAGTAAAGCAAGACTGTGCCTTCAAAAGGATACAAACAGTGTCATCAAGAGTCAGTCTGTCTAAGAATTTGATTTACATTCATAAGCTATTTGTCAAAGTAAGGTTCTGCAATAGGCAATAGGCCATGTATGCTAAGAAAAATATATCCCTCTTTCTTTAAAAGATCAATCAATAACTATATAGACAGATATCTGCACATCTTGTACATTGATACATACGCCATTCATTTTATCCTTTTGATATTCCTGGAGAAAAGTCTAAACGTTCAAATAACAGGTTGTTTCACTGAACATTGATTTAAAAATCTACAGACAAATTTTACAGCAGTACTTAAAAATGCATTAAATTATAGTTTTCCCAAGAGTTTCAAAGGAAAATGCTCCCCTCGTATTGACAAACTGCAAAGATGCGCTCCCGCTCATGTTACCTTTTACTGTGTAGTTGAATCCGCGTCCAGTATAGAGGCTTCATTGGCCGACAAGGCTCTATTGGCTGCTTCCTACTCCCCTTGTCCTGGTTCATCCCTAATCCAAACCAGCCAGTTGGCAATGGAGGGGGAAGAAATCCACACCCTTGTGGTGTCGGTAAAGTGCTACTCCCAACTTGTGGGGGGAGTGGAGGGCCAGATCCAGGAAGCAGAGCAGGTGGTGGGGGTGAGGTGATGCCTGTTCCAGGAAAAGGCGGAGGAGCTGGAGCAGGTGGAATATCCACACCTGGCCAAGGAGGAGGTGGGGGAACCCCAACTCCAGGAAGAGGAGGAGGAGGAGGTGGAGGAGGAGGTATTCCCATTCCGGGAAGAGGGGGAGGAGGAGGTATTCCCACTCCAGGAAGAGGAGGTGGGGGAGGAGGTATTCCCACACCAGGAAGAGGGGGGGCAGGTGGTATTCCCACTCCTGGAAGAGGAGGAGGAGGTGGTATTCCCACTCCGGGAAGAGGAGGAGGAGGAGGTATTCCCACACCGGGAAGAGGGGGGGCAGGTGGTATTCCCACTCCTGGAAGAGGAGGCGGGGGAGGAGGTATTCCCACACCGGGAAGAGGAGGAGGAGGAGGTATTCCCACTCCTATTCCCATACCAGGAAGAGGTGGGGGAGGAGGTATTCCCACTCCAGGCAAAGGTGGGGGAGGGGGTGGCAGCATTTCTGTACCAGGCATAGAAGGAGGTGGGGGAGTTGTTGTACTAGGCAGAACAGGCCCTGTGATGCCAGGGAGAGGGGGAGGTGGGGGAGGTGGGGGAGGTAGGGGAGCCACCAAGTCCAGGCCAAACATGGAGCTGGAAGAATCTGTGCAAGGCAGAGGCGGTGGAGGTGGGACACTAGGGCTGTTTTCAAAGGAGGATAAAACAGAGTGTTCATGGCTGGTTTCAAATTCAGTATGAAGAGAAGGATGGGAAGACTGTGACCTGGCCTGTCCTTGACCATCGGACTGCGAAAGGGAGGGAGCTGGTGGAGGCTGAACGGACTGATGTGCGTCGAGCTGTACTGATATTTGCCTTGGAGACACAATCAAAGAAATCTCTGAACAGAATTTTGTCTGAGGTCCAGAAGGAGAGGATGGCACAGCTGAGTCTCCACTTTCGGCCCCTGGAGGGCATGAGGGACACTCTGGCAGTGTATTAACAGAAGGCAGTGTCAGTGTCCTTCCCTCTTCTATCGGGGACGTCTGGATCGACTTTGCCTGTGAAATCCTTTGATGCCGTACATCCTTTTCTCCTAACCTGAGAGCTTCGAGACAGACATCTTCTGAGGGTGCCACTCCATTCTGAACCCCACGATGGCCGCTGGCCACCTCCATGTCCATGGCAGGATACTGCTTCTCCAGTTCAGCTATTTTGATCCTCAGATCCTCGATGGTCTGTTCCAGCTGCTGAATCACAGTCGCCTGTCCCTCAGACTTCATGTCTACAACTTCCTGAAGGGCAACAAAGACAGACATAGTTAAATATAAAAACTAAGAAACACTCCAAATAGAAAAAGACTTACAAAGGTAAGCAAAGTAAATTTGTTTATTATAATACTTCCAGGAAGATCTCTATTCCCTTGGATTTCAAAGTGGTTTACACACATTACCATAAAATCCTAAAGCCTTTGTTTGTTTTGTCTTTATATGATATCGTTGAAGTAGACCACTCATAGGGGAGAAAATCCTGAGTATTTTCTCACTCAGGATATCCTCCAAGATAGGCATCTCTCTTTCCTGACTAGTAACATTTGCTATTAAGATGTTCCGTAAAGACATTTTAAATCCTAAATTTTAAAGGTAATCACTGAAAGAGTCTCCAATAAGATTATGTGAAATATTTTTGACATCCATATAGGCATGAGCATATATCTCCTAAACATGTCAGACCACCTATGTCATGTTTATTATAATTTTAATATTTTCCCCAAGGCATTTAAGAAAGTGTAACTTATGGTTCTCCACCATTTCTAAAAATGGCTGGTAACTCAGTATATGACTCCCCCTCACATCTAAAGGATGTCCGCTTTTCCCAAGGTACACACATATACACAATCGTGTAAGGAAAAAAAAAATACTTTGGGTAGAAAACAGGAGAAAGCCCTATGGGTAAATTAAATATGAACAACATATAAGTAAAAAGCAAAAAGAAGAAGGAATGGATAAAGAAAAAGGGAGGACCAAGGAATAGCAGAAGGTAGAAAAGAAGGGAGGGCTAACTTCAGCTGTGTGAAGCTGCCATGTCAGACAACTGCTCACAGACTGGGATTTGCTCCCTCAAGGCTGGAAGGAAAGGTAAAGTGAGTGTGAGCGAGTTCTCATGCTAAGAACCATTTCGTTAGTGTCTCCGGTCTTTTCAAAGGCGATCCCAATAGCAGCCGCGATAAAGAACCATCACCCACAGGCACCCACGTCTATTATCTTCTCTACATGGGAGCCACGCACAGCTGACCCTCCAGACCTGCCCTTTACAGGCTGTGGAAGAAGAATTAAGAGGTAATATAAAGATTATACGAAGTATAAAACTAAGTGCTTATCATGCTTGTTCAAGGTTAAACTCTGGATCCAAAACAAGTCCTCTCAAAATAAATGTTTTCTTTACTCTTGATAAATCCAAAACAAATACCTAACCCTTTGCAGTGGAAAAACTGCAGATAGACAAGACAGAAATGGGTATTTGCTGTAAATGAAGCATTGGTGGTGCTATGGGTAGATTTGTTAAAAACCTTCAGATTTAGGGTTGTTTTTTTCCCGGGGGGGGGAGGGTAGAAAAGGTATAAATTTAATAGTCTTAACCTTAGCTCCTGTTACTTCTTCCCTAGAAACTTCTATCTTTTAACTAAAATATTTAACTTGCTGAAGATTAATTATGATGCTAGTTGACAGGTGATGAGAACGTGTAACCAGAGACACAGCCTTACACAAGGTATTTTATTTCCCTATGATAGAAACATACCAAGTAGCCCTTACTGTGGAAAGAAACAGAAATGAAAATGAATTTATTTTTCAACTAATAAAAGAATGTAGCACACTTTAAATAGGCAAAATTTTGAGAAGCACTTTTTACTTATATGTAAATATAAATATATATGTAAATATATATATAAATATATAGATAGATAGATATGTGTAAATATATATAAATACTTTAAACCACTATTTTTCACCAGTGTCTACACAAAAGATTAAAGCATTACAATGCACAGTTTGGGAAATCATGTTATAGATTTTCTAAATAGTCCATGGTAAAAGAAATAACTATAATAAACAATTTATAATATTCTGTTTGGCCGCTGTACTTAGCTCCACTCTCCAATTTTCATGCTAAAAAGTATGAGAAGAAACCAGAAGCCAAAAAAGACAATTATAGCACCCAAATTCGTCCTAAAAAACACTATAACTATTTTGTATTTCTTCCTTGCCCTTGATTAGTAAACTGTAGATTATTTTCATTTTTCCAACATAACCTTAAAAGTGACCCTTAAGCATTAATAAGTGTTTTGTTTTTTTAGTAATCCTGGTATACAAATAGGGCTCTCAATTTCCCATTTATATAATGAGCATATAAAAAGATTAATTGGGAAAGGCATGCAAGAAGTAAATTCTGGAAGAGTTTACCAAAACTCAATTCTTAAGTGTTATTACCTAGGCCAACTCTCTTTTATCATAGGTTTGAATATAATGAAAGCAGTATAAAAATGAAAGGACATGAAAAAAACAGAGAAAGAGGAGGAGAAATTGATCCTAAATCAAAACAACCTGGCACTATAGGAATTATAACACCTCTTTCTTACTTAGATTTATGCCCCTACATTTACATGCCAACTCGTGCAACACAGCACTCAAAGCCAAGGACCATCAAGGTCACAGGACCAGTGACTGGGAAGATTTCCTGGGATTTTTATCCTTTCCTATTATTTATATAGCCAGTAGGAAAAAGAGTACCTATTACACATGATAACTAGTACCAGAAAAAGACTTTTTAAATGGAATCAACTTGAGACAATCTGGCAGTTACTTTGGCTTAACTCTCCCAGGCCTGAGCTCCCTCTCTCTTTCTATGTATAGATATGGCAAATGAAACAAAACAGAACCAAACCAAACCAAACCAAACAAAACCAAACAAAACAAAACAAACTACATTTAAAGACTCCCTTGCAGCTAGTTTCACCCAATTAGATGCAATCATACAGAGATTGAAAAAGTTGAAAGAGACAGGCCATAGTGCTGTGTGCCTTGACTGTTCCGTTAGCGATCAAGATCTGCTAACTTGAAGCGACTCTGAAACAACCTTCCAACATCCACTCTCCACTGTCTAGTGATGACCTCAAAGGCGTTAGCTTCCCTAGTATATCAGTTGTATATGATTCCTTCAAAAGGCTTCAGTCTAGGAGCAGATCTTTCAAACCTTCTAAACTTCCCATTTAAAAACTAATTTTATATAGTAAACCCTTTTGTTTATTATATTTAGTATGGTTTCTGGTTCCTTCAACATAGCCTGACTCATATAAACATGTACTAATATTTCTGAATAAACTGTGGTGGAAAAAAAAACAGGCTCTTCATGTAAGCAGCCTGAGGTGATCTCTGAAAATGGTTCGCAATTCACTTGAAATTGAAAACCCAGAAAACCCACCAACATCATGCAAATCAAGGGGTTCAAATATTCACGTGCACTTTAAGAACACTGATGAAACTGCCCACCGAGGGTATGTTTATGGAAAAAGCCACCAAGTACCTGAAGTAGCCCCTTACAATCCTGTGATATGCAAATTAATCTTATCTGTCATATCATCATCCCTACCAATTAACTCTTCCAAGTGTTTATTAATCAATTCCTTTCCATGTGATTCAAGTTTTCTCCACCATCACCTTCCCTGACTTCAGGTAATCCTACAACTTCTGCAAGATTAACAATTTCATCTTACATTCTATTTGTATCATGTAGTTTAAAACATTCACAAATCATTGATAAACTGACCCTGCCAAACTAAAGGACAATAGATAATAACAGATGGTTTATGTTAAATGGGGAGGAATTTG